GTAGGCAATCATTGGTGGCTACATTGCTTTTTTTTTTTTTTAAAAAACAGGTAAATTACTTTTAAAAAAATTGAAATGGTTAAGTATGGAAACAATTAGCAAGATAATTGTTTATACACATTTTAAGATAGACTAGAAGTGGAAAAAATGAGCACTCTTGACAAGGGCACACCGTTTGTAGGAGATGGGACTGATATGTCGTAATAGACCCGGTGGCACGACATTGACAATGCCATGGGCCTTCATCGAGAGAGCTAGATGACTGCGCTAGACAATAGGATGTCATGGTGCTAGGTGTCGCAAGATGGCAAGATAAGAAGCCCACTTGCTATTATTAGGCCTTTGGGTTGAACGAGCTATAATTATGGATAATTGGCTGGGCCAAGTATGGGCCGGTGACGACGTAACGTACATTCCCTCCTGTTTTCAGTAGCCCACTTGCTATTATTAGGCCTTGGTTTGTAGGCAATCATTGGTGGCTACATTGCTTTTTTTTTTTTTTTAAAAAACAGGTAAATTTATTCTAAATCAAACAGATACAAACATCAATGCTGACTCGAATGATTAAGGGATTGTTATTTTGCATTTTTGAGTCATGGTGATTTGAGTGATAATTTTGAGTTGAGTTTGAGTTATAACTTGAGTTGAAGTTGTAATTTGAGTTTGTGTTTGAATGTGCACATTTGAGTATGATTTAAATTGAGAATCTTTTTGAGTTTGTGTTTGAGTGGGTCAAAACTTAAATTTGTATTTAGATAGTATTTTTATAAAAACTCAATAGCGATGAAAAATTTTAATAGGGTATATGGGTGTGGTTTTATTCGTCTTTTCGTTGTGAATGCATAGAAAAAAAATCATCTTAATCAGAATTAAAACGAAAAAGTTATGACATTTTTAAGAATAGAAAAAATATTGTTTATTAATTTGAGTTTGAGTTTCTAAACTCAAGTTGAAGGTAAAACTTGAACTCGAGTTTAGCCCCAAACTCAAGTTCAAATTCAAGTTCAAACTCGAGTTCAAACTCAAATTTTACAAAAGAACATGAACTTAAATAAAGTTGTAACTCAAGTTCAAATTTTTTCTGAGTTTTGTTCCAAAAGAACAACCCCTAAATAATATAAGAAAAGTTAACCTCAGCAGACCCACCTCCGCCATCACCTCCGGCCAACCCAGTAAGCAAGCTACCCCCTGCATCTCGGCCTCACCATTAGGGCCAAAACCCCCAGAGAACCAACATCCTTCAAATGCCAGCATGCCTAGGAAAGGCATCCAAACACTTGACAGTGCCGCACCACCAAAATGATGAACATCCACCTCCAATGCCGCGAGATTGAACCCATCACCACCGGACAAACCGTCAGAAGGCCCCGAGCATCATCTCTAGGGCCGGAGATCCATAAGCCAGCCAAACAGTGGCGTTGGATTCCTGCCCAAGAAGAGCAGCACACCCACAAGAAGAAACCCTAGTTTTCTCGAGAGAAAGATAGAGGGAGAGAAGAGGTGGCTACATTGGAGAGTATAAAAAAATACTCTCCAATGCAATGTTATTAATTGTGACAAATTTCTTATATGTTTACTTTGTGACAAATTTTCGGCCAACTATAGCATATGAAAAATTTAGCATTTGATTGATATTGGTTGAAATGTTTACTTTTTCATGTAATCGTTGTAATTTGTGTATTTTCTAATTATTTTAAAAGTAAAAGTTATAACTTTCAATGCGTAATGATTATAGAAAAAAATAAATTTAGCATTTCAAATAATATTATGAATTGTAGCAAAAATGAAAGAACAAATTTTATAAATTCTCCCTAACTTTGTCACTTGTGTCAACACCCTCCTAAACTTTAAAATGTGCGTGTTGTGCTCCATAAAATTTTGTCACTTGTGTCAATATGCCCACTGAGTCTAACTCCGTCAAGTTTTTTATTTGAAATGCTTATAAACACCCCTTGAACTTTGTCATTTTTATCAATATGTGGCCTGAACTTTAAAATGTACCAGTATGCCCCCAAAATATAGATGTCTCTAACTTTCTCCCCTTCATCTTGATTCTATCATTTTTTTAATGAAAATATTGATATGACAATTAAATTGCTAATTAGTTATGATATTTAAGGTTTATTGAATGTCTTTCCCATCAAAAATATTAGTTAGGTAACAATTTTCAAAACATTCTATAGAGGCATTAAAGAGGGAGAAAATGAGAAACAAATCTGTATAAGGTAATGGGTTTGTTAATTTTTTTAGTTTTCTTTTTCTTTTTTCATTAGAATGGGTTTATTAAATTAATAGATTTCTCAATATAGATGATAGATTCTTCCTTAAATTTTATACTATGTGTTTTTTTTATGGCGAAGATTTTTTCTTAAAGTTTGTTAAGTAATGAGTTTCTTAAGGTTTGTATTGAATTCTTAAAAAATCATATTTTATGTCGAGCATTTTCATTTGGGTTAAATATTATTAAGTCAGGAAAATAGACTAACAAAACCCGTAACAATATACAGATTTGTTCATTATTTTTTCCTCTTTATTGCCTCGAATCAACTAATATTTTAAGAATTGGTGCCTATACTAATATTTTTTTAGGGGAAGACATTCAATAAACCTCAAATATTATAGCTACTTAGCAATTTAATGGTAATATCAACATTTATGTTCAAATAATTAGTAGAATGAAGATGGAGGGGGGAAAAATAGAGACATGTCAAATTTTTGGGTGGACAACATGTACATTTTATAGTTCAGGAGGCATATTGACATAAGTGACAAAGTTTATAGGGTGTTTAAAAGCATTTCTGTTAAAAAACTTGACGGAATTATACTCATAAGGCATGTTGACACAAGTGACAAAGTTCAAGAGACAAAACATGCACATTTTAAAGTTCAGATGGCATGTTGATTCAAATGACAAAATTTAGGAAAAATTTATAAAATTTTTCATTTTTTTTGTCAAAACACTTATATAACTTTAATTCTTCTTTTTTTTCTTTTTTAACTATTCCTCTTTTTCTTTTTCTTTTTTTTTTTTTTTTACTTTTTCTTCTTTTCTTTTACTTATTGTCTTTTTTTATTTTTTTTTTCCTCTATATTCTTTGATAGTTCTTTAAAAAAAAAAAAAAAAACATATATCTTTGAAATACTCTCTTTTCCGAACTTTCTTTCAATGAAAATAATTCCTTCTAAATATCTCCCCACTTAATTCTTTTACCAAAAATTTTTATATAACTTCAATTCTTTTGTAATATGATTTTTCAAAATATCTTTCTTGCTTTAAATAATATTGGACTTAACTTCTAAAATAATTACGTGTTTTTTAATGTAGAATTAAATTTATAAAATTATTCTTTACGTGTGACTCAACTAGTATTAATTAAAAAAAGAATAGATAACAACAATAAAAAAACAGATCAGTGAACTCCAGTTTAGTAGAAAGTTAAAAAAAAAATGCCACTACAAAGTCTGTAGGGTTCGTACACAGATCAGATAGTTTAGGCTTGACTTATTGTTAGACCCTGGTAGATCTTTTTGATTTACATATCAGTTTTTTTATTCTAGTTTAGGTTACTGCCTTGCTAGTTTCTGTTTCTTTTGTTTTGGGGTTGTTTTTACTATTGCTGACTGTGGGTGTATTTTTTTTTTTTTTTTTTTGGAAAATGAGAAAAATAGATAAAGACTTGAGATGAATTAAAATTAATAGGTCAATAGTTTACATAAATTAATAAATATGTCAAATTACTGTTTTTGTCTATAACTTGTCTGGTTATAAACCATAACTTGATAAATTATTCACAGTTTTTATCCATAACTTGTCTGACTATGAACCATAAATTGACAAATTTATTCATAACTTATCTGGTTATGAACTATAACTTGACAAGTTATGGCCTATTAATTTCTATAACTAAAAATTGACCTATATACTTTCTTAAGCTTTTCATATTGGCCTATTTTCTACTATTTCCGGTTTTTTTTTAATAACACTTGAGTTGGGGGTTTGGTAAAGAACAAGGCCCCGTTCATTTCGCTGATTCGAGTTTTTCTACAGTAAAAAGCTCTCACAAACAATCACATCTAACTTTTTTGCTACAGTAAAAAACTCTCACATAAAATCACATCTCAACTCGAATTTTAAACTCGAATCAACGAAGTAAACGAGGCCTTAGTTGTTCAGAGAGTGCTTAATGGGGATGTTTTGATCAATTTTGATATTCATTATCCTCTCTCATTATTTATATATATATATATATATTTGTATATATTTATAAAAAGTTGCATTTCATTTTCATCCAATTAAACTAAACGGTTCCAATAGAGACTCTTTGTCCCAATAAAAGATTATGCGCGAAAAAAAAGGAGTACTTTAACTAAAATTTTCTTGACTACGCGGTTGAATGATAGTGTAACGATAATTTTAAGGGTTTTTTGGCTCAATTGCTTTCTGAATTTATTGTGGTTTATTTAATTGCTCTTTAAATTTTTAGTTTTGGTAAGTTACTCATTGAATTTGTAAATTTGTTGTAATGTGCCCATTTAATTAAATTTATTCAAAATTTTTATTAGATTTAAGAGATTAAAAATTGAGATATTGAAATATTTATGTTATATTTGATAGGGAATATTGAAATTTTTGGTTAAACGTGTTTTTTTGACACTGATTTAACACAATCATCGTTAAAATATAGCATATTACAACAAATTTATAAATTGATGAGACAACTTGCTAAAATTAAAAGTTTGGAAGATAATTTGGTAAATCACGATAAATTTAAGAGGTAAAATGTGCAAAAAAAAAAACCCTAATTTTAAATATAACTGCATCTTCTGGCGTCGAGTCCAATCTCCATCCCCAGTTTAAAAAGAAAATTACTTGGTAAGATTAATATTCAACCACTATATATAACGTAATTCTCAAAACCTGATCATAGCATATATATTCAATAAAAGAAAAGTGTACACCAAAAATAAAAATATATATATATATATATATATATAATTGGTCACTAAGCAACGTTAACAGTGTTACACATCCCTGTATTTCTAACACACCAAAGAGGCTGAATTGGCTCAGCCCCAACTCCCCTCCTCACCATCCTACTCCGCCACTCATTCAACCTATCCGTCGCCTCCGCGTACCGCTTCTTCCCGCTCTCGTCCCGGTTCCCGGACCACAGCGTCTCCGCCATCGCCGACGCCCGCGGCCAAACCCTTGAATCGAGAACCGTCCCGTCCGCCTGCTCTGACCACAGCGCCACTTCCCCGCCGAGCACCAGCCTCTTCTCCTCCTCACTCAGCCCATAGTCAATGTCATAATTGTAAATAACCTGCCATGTCTTAAACGGACCGCACCACGACCCGCCATTCCCCGTCGTACTACCCGATTGGTCGTCGGACGCACTATTATTCCCCAAAAAGTCTCCATGACCGCAATCCAAGTAGTAAAACTCCGCCGACGACACGATAACCCGATACCCCGACGAAACGATGCGTTTCGTGTTGTTGTGGCCGTTGTTCCACGTCTGTAGGACGACACTCTCCTTGGGAAGAAACTTGGAGTCAACCTTTACGACGTCGCTTAACAAAACGTCCTCCCAATAGACGACGGTTTTGTTGCGAGAAACGACCTCGGGTAAAGTTTTGTTGACGAAAATCTCGAGAAGTTGAGAGAGAGTCCCGCCGTTGGATAAAAAGGAATGGACGGTGGGATCGGACTTCCAGCAGTTGGGATTGATCTCATCGGCGCCGGCGTGGAAGAACGGTTCGGGGAAGAGGCGAACGACGTCGTTTATGAGGTTTCGGAGGACTTTGTAGGTGTTGGGTTTGAGAGGGTTGAGTTGGCCTGTGCCTGGCTCTGAGGCAAAGCGGTCCTCCCACTTGGCGCCTGCGGGCCACCAGAATTTGTTTGCGCATGTCACTATGTCTGGATATGCTTCTGCCCATGATCCTGTGTGGGCTGCAATAATATTTTATTTCAGAAGCATATGCAAATTAATTAGGTTTAACTAATTTATTAATGTTAAGATGTCAATATACACAACAATACTTTTGATCGAGAATGGAGAAACAATTTTTATTTTTTATTTTTTATTTTTATCTGCTTTTGTGAAGGGAAGAATACTAAAGAAACTATGAATGGTTGTCGTTGAAGCCTACATTATCTACTTTTAATATTGAGTTTGAATACTCCACCTTAATTTTAAAATAAAACGCAATTATATTTAGTATTAGAGTTTCTAATAATTTATCCATTAGTAAATTGTTTCCAATCTTTTAATTTTAGTAATTAATTCTCTAAATTTATGAAACAGTTGCAATTAAGTACATTTGGCTAACGTGTATTCCTTTAGGGACGGAATCTCCCACGCGAGATGCACGTGTTTTAATCGTGGGGTGGAGGTTAATTGTTAACTAGAAATGTTGGTTTTGTTCGATTTAAATTTTTAATTGGAGTTGTGATATAATATTTTTTAAAAATTTTTAATTGTAATAGAATAAATTAAATGTGATATTTTTAAAAAATTTTAATTATAAAAATTTAAATCGGTAAAAAATAATTGGAGTTGTGATATAATATTTTTTAAAAATTTTTAATTGTAATAGAAAAAATTAAATGTGATATTTTTAAAAAATTTTAATTATAAAAATTTAAATCGGTAAAAAATAACGCATACGTTATCTTTCTTAAACTTCTAATTAGTTCAAATATTTTTGACATGGATCATGACATCTTGTTTTATTAGTTTTGAAACAGTAGAAACTTTGGATGGGGTCAAAAGTCCGTAGTGGGGCAGTAATTGCTCCACCATAAAATCAATTCAAAATCCTCCTCCTAGTTAAACAGATCAAATCGAAAATACCCAAAACAAAAATATGAAGAATTTAGCAAATACAAAACCTGGTGAATCAATCTCCGGCACAACCCTGACGCCGTGGTCAAACCCAAACTCCACAATCCTCTTGACATCATCCGGAGTGTAGACCATGTCCGACCCGTACGACCCTTTCGCCGCCAGCTCCGGCTCCGACGGCACAACCAGCGGAAACGAGTGCGAGTCCGTGATGTGCCAATGGAACACGTTCAGCTTGTTGGCGCTCATGGCTGCGATGGTTCTCAGTATGTCCTCCACCGGATAGTAATTCCTCGACGTGTCAAGCATGACCCCTCGGTGTCCGTAATCCGGCGAGTCCTCGATATCGACGCCGACGGCCACCGCCGAGGGGTCCCCCCACACCAGCTGCGAGAAAGTCTCCAGCCCCCGCATGGCGCCCCACACGGTCCTCGCCGTCAGACGGGCGGCGCCGCCGCCGGCGGGGACCGTCAGGGAGTAGGACTCGTCGGCGCCGTGGGCGAGGGGCGCGGTGAGGTCCGAGACGTGGACTGAAAGCGCCTGCAGCGGGGCGGCGGAGGCGTTGACGAGGGCGGCGGGCGGGGGTACTAGAGGGCGGTGGTGCTCGGTGTGGATTAAGCGGAGGTAGCGGGTTGCGGCGGCGGCGAGGTGGCGGTGGTTGGGGGAGGAGATGGAGAAGGCGGGGGAGAGGAGGAGGGCCCGCCGCGGGTGGGGCCACCGGAAGGTTGTTGGCTTGGGCCAGACATTGATGGGAAATGGTGATGATGAGGTTGTTGTGGGAGAGGTTGAGATGATGAAGAGAAGTGGTGTAATGAGGATGAGGAGAGTGTTAATGATGAAATTGGAATTACGGAGAGGAAAAGACATTGTGATTTTTGTGTATTGGCCAAAATGGCACAGTTTTTGAGATGTGTAAGCTAGTGATTGGGAAAGAAATAAATACCACATGGGTTTGGTCTAGTTGTGAATATTATTGAAATTGGCTGTTTTGAGTGTATGGTTTTACTGGTTTGTCGGTTTCATTTGACTTGTTTGTTGCAAAGGTTTATAATTTCTCAGTCGTGGTGTGGACCAATTTTTAAAGCACATTTAATTCGTTAATTTGAGTTAAAATGTAATTTTATCTGAAAATTTTTTACTGTAATAAAAAAATTAAATATGATTATTTTTAAAATTTTTTTACTATAATAAAATTTAAATTATTAACTCAAATCGGTGAAATAAACGACCGTACTTAACTTCTTATATACACATGGCAAGTGCTGTTCTAGATTGGTGTTATTGTTGTAAGAAAAGTAAAAGTAGTACAAAGGTCCTCTTGGTTTGTCATGTGGAAAGGGCCTCAATATTTTTTTGCTTCTTACATACTCAAACACAAATCAACTCAAATCATTAATTTTATTATAATATGTATCTCATTAAAAATTTAAATTATAAACATTAAAATTAACAATCATAATTTAAATATTCCTTTTAAACAGACCATTAAAATTACTTTGGAACATAAATAAATATTGCTTATGTTTTTATCACTAGCATTCAGACAGCACAAATCTGACTCATGCTTTAGTCTGTCAATGGAGTCCAGAGTCACATTAGTCCGAATAATATTTAACAAGTCAATAAAGAAGCATAATTTTAACCTCTCATCGAATAATTAGTGGTAAGTTTATATCTATTCCTATACCACACCACTAGTGCTAAATTTATATATATTCCTACTAAGTGGGAAAATCCGTCTTTTTTTGGGGGGGGAGGAGCTTTTAAACTTTTCTTAAGGTTTCTTATATATATATTGCTTTTTCTTTAGCTTTTCTTTTATAAAGTTTTTCTTCTTTTTTCTCCCTTATTACTTTTATTGCATCTTTTAACCTTTAATTTTTATATATTTTTAAATATTTTTTTATAGTTATTTAAAATATTATTTTTTAAATTACATTCTAAATTAATTTATTCTCAAATGCGTTCTTATATAAATATTTTTTGCATGTAATTTTCATAAATTTCAGCTTTACTTGCGAAACATTTCGCGCAAGTTTTTTCTTAAGCTTTTTCATTTTTTTTCATGTCTTTTGCTCCAGATTTTTTTTCCCAATTTTTATTTTTTTTGTCCTTTCTTTTTTCTTCTTCTATTTCTTTCCCGACGATTTGTATATACTGTTACTTTAAATGAGTCACACGTGCGCAAAGCACACATTTTTAACTAATATGTGTGTATATATTTACATATTTTAATATTGTACTATAAGTTTAAAGAGGGAACCTAGAGATAAAGAATTTAACAGTAGATTTTTATTATTGGTGACTGGTGTGGATAGCCGGATAATTAACTTTGATAATTCAGAATTTCACAGCATGTACCACAAAATATTCTTCTTTTGTTTTTCTATATGCATTGCTCATAAAGTAAAACCTATTCAGAGTAGCATATCAAAGGACAACCGATTAATTATAACATAAAGAGAAACCTCTATTTTTTATTTATTTATTGTTTTGAATTTTTTAAGCTGAGTATGTGGATACAAAAGAGAGACCTTTGCATTTAACCGCATGTTCTTGTTTTATCGTGATTCGAACAAAATAATCAACGCCGTAACGTTAATTTAAAGCATTTCTTAAAATTAAAAAAAAAAAAAAGGAATGGAAGTGTTTCTTTAAAAAATTAAAAATGACTGGTAACTAGTAATAAAAGATCAAACAGTATCAAATATAATAAAAATAACTTATTCAGCAATATATATATATATATATAATATGAAAGAACTTATTAAAACAACTTCTCATGGAACTTTCAAACAGTTAAACTCACCGTGAGAAGAGTACATCACTATAAATTAATGCTTCTAATGAAAAGAGAGAGAGAGATGAATATATAAAACGTTTTGAACACATATAATAGAAATAGTATACGCAGTCCATGAGACAAAGATCAATAAATATCGTTGAATTTGTACAGTTATAATTATAAACTAATTGAATATATATTATATAGTGATCGCAAACACATTGCCGGCTTAATTTGCCATTTGTTCAAAACGGGTTTGGTTCAAACCATTTTAGAGGTGTAAATTTGAGCCAGCTTAAATGGGCCGGTCCTAGGCTCAGTCATTATTGTTGGCTCATACCTGATCCGGCGGCATGGTATTAATTTTTTTGAATTTAAAACCATGCTAGACTGACCCTCAATCCTTTAAGACCAGAAAAATATCGTATTTTTAAAGATTTTTTTAAAAAAGATTTTATAAACTTTCGGGCCGGACCGAACCAGTCCTAAATTTTATAGACTTAAGGCCGGTCTGGGCCGACCCTCTCTCTAGCTCAGTCTGAAATTTTTCTTTGACCTAGACCGGGCCAAACCGTGTGGCCTAAATTAACACCTTCAAGCCATTTCGGCATCATGTCTTGTGAAGAAAAATAATCCCTATGCATGTTATAGTATTAGGAGACGTTTGGTTAATGGATTAAAATCATAAGATTAAAACTATTTTTCGATTTACGTATATTTTTGTGAGAGAAAATATTGTAACGAACCATGAATCATAATTCGAATCGGGGTACGAATCCCCCAACCAAACAACCCCTTAGTTTAAGTTGGTAACGGGTGGCCGGTGGCAGTGGGTATTTCTAGCGTGAATTTTGGGTACCTACGGATTTCTTGCTCATATAATTATTTGATTTCAACAAATGTAATGAGTAAAAATAATTAAGCTTTTCTAAGGACAACCGATTAACACAGAGAAATCTCTAATTTTTTTTATTTATGTTTTTGAATTTTTTAAGCTGAGCATATGGATACAAATTAAGAGAGACCTTTGCATTTAACCACACGTTCTTGTTTTATCGTGATTCGAACAAAATAATCAATGCCGTAACGTTAATTTAAAGCATTTTCTTAAACAAACAAAAAACAAAAAAAAATAATGGAAGTGTTTCTTTAAAAAATTAAAAATGACTGGTAACTAGTAAGACAAGATCAAACAGTTTCAAATATAATAAAAATAACTTATTCAGCAATATATATATATATATATATATATATATATAATATGAAAGAACTTATTAAAAGAACTTCTCATGGAACTTTCAAACAGTTAACACTCACCGTGACTTAGGGAGCCATCAGAAGTGTACATCACTATAAATTAATGCTTCTAATAAAAAAGAGAGAGAGATGAACAATAGAAATAGTATACGCAGTCCATGAGACAAAGATCAATAAATATCGTTTAATTTGTACAGTTATAACTATAAACTAATTGAATATATATTATATAGTGATCGCAATCACATTGCCGGCTTAATTTGCCATTTGTTCAAAACGGGTTTGGTTCAAGCCATTTTAGAACCGTAAGTTTAAGCCGGTTTAAATGGGCCGGTCCTAGAACCATTACTGTTGGTTCCGACCCAGCCTGGCACAGCATTAAATTTTTTGAGCTTAGAGCCAGGCTAGGCCGACCCTCAATCTCTTAGAACTGGATAAAAATTATATTTTTAAAGATTTTTTTAATTTAAAAAATCCTTATAAAATTTCGGATCAGATCGGACTGGTCCTAAACTTTTTGAGTTTAGGGTCAGCCTAGGCCGACCATCTTTCCGGCCTGGCCTGACATTTCTCTTCAGTCCGAATCGAGCCAAACAGCCTAAATTTATACCTTTAAGTTGTTTCAACAGTCTTGTTAAGGAAAATAATTACTATGCATGTTATAGCATTAGTTAAAATTGGTGGATAGCGGGTGGGGGGTGGCAGTGGGTTTTTCTAGCGCGAATTTTGGGTACCTGCAGATTTCTTGTTCATAGAATTATTTGTTTTCAACAAATGTAAAGAGTAAAAATAATTAAGTTTTTCGGTATATTATATATGGAATATAATATTATGCATGTTATATTTGAAATTCCAGCATTGGTTGATGCCACGTCATCAACCCTCCAATCCGTGATTTCAACCCTCTTGTCAGGTTTGTGTGGACAATTTGTGATTTATCATTTTAGGGACATTTAGAGAATGAATCATGATTCTGAATCCATGAACAAAACGTTACCTTAAAAGTCATTATTTAGAAACATGTTTAGGAATTGCTTTCTTTGATTGATTAATGGTATTGCAATGACTGATAGATTATTGAATGGAATTGAGATTTGGAACCATGTGAAAATATAATTTTGTTGTTAATTGGTGGTATTTGATTTTAGGGTTTGAGTTCTTTGCTGATTTCTATTGATAAATTTCATGAGTGATATTTGAGGGTTAGAAACATGTTTGGGATGGTTTGGATTGATTTTGGAGCATACTATGTTGTTTGGAAACATATTTAGAAGTTTTTTACATCACGGCGCTAAGAAGTGGGTGCCACGGCGCTAGAAAGACAAAAAGAAATCACAGTGACAGATCGGTGAGCGCCGCAGCGCTAGGTCATTCAACAGGAAAAAAAAATCTGATTCGGTGTATTGATTTGTCAATGCGTTTTGAAGGGTAAAACGTACTCCCATTTGGTTAAATTTGGTATCGTTAGAAAGATATTTCAGTCTACTTTCCAATGCCGCTAGTTTTAGGATAATATGAATTTTGTAAAGATCGGGGTGAACGTTTTAGTACAGGAGATTCATGTTGGCAAGTTTTAAAAGTTGTGCAATATATGGCCTTTTAATCTATTTGTTATGTTCTATGATTTTAGTGATGAATGATATGATTACTATGATATAAACACGAGTTACTTGCCACCCACATGTACGGGTTACGATGTTATAAGAGATTTATGTTGATATGAATTGAGTACTGAGATTTGTACGTTTTGTTAAACGGCATGAACAATTCAAGAATCACATACATCAGAGCCTCTAAGATCACATCACCATTCAAGTTGAGGTTAAGTAATCCGTATTAAGTAAATACAACCTCACCTGCAACGTGATTAAATTTTCATGAATTGACTTGTGATTTATAAGATTTCAAATATGTTTTATAATTCATATTATGTTTATTTAAGCATAAATGTTTTATTTCATGTTTACAAGTACATGATATTACATGCTTACATGTTTATCAGATTCACAATGTTACATGTTATAAGTATCCATGTTATACGCTCACGAAAATCAAGACATGTGAAGAAGATGTTTTGTCACGTTAAATGATGAGGCAACGTACTCCTTCGCGTTTCATGGTCTTAGGGCAGCCCATGGATCTAGATGACAATTTCGGACCCGTTTAGTTTGCTGATTCGAGTTTTTAATTCGAGTTTAGATGTGACTTTATGTGAAAGTTGTTTACTGTAGCAAAAAAGTTAGATGTGACTGTTTCTGAGAGCATTTTACTGTAACAAAACTCGAATCGGTAAAATAAACGGAGCCTTCATATTTACATTGCCTCAATAAGTGTGGAATTTACAATCTCACTCTTGCCGCAGGTTGCGCGTATGTACATTTGCATCGGGTCCAAACAAGATAATAAATGTAAAAGTATTTTCAAAAGAAAAGAGAGTGATTCATGATTTGTTAAATGTTAAATATTTTCATGTGAGAAAAATGTTGTGCTTATTTAGCTCTAGCTCATGTTTTTAAGTTTCGCGTTGCAGATAAAGGTAAAGGAATAGCATGAAGTGGATGAAGCTAGACGGGCATGTGACGAGCGAGAATGTGGGAGATGGGATACCACACGCAAAATTTTATTTCCGCTAAAGTTTTAATATTTAATAGAATTATAATTTCATGGATTTTTAATTATTATGTTTATGAATGATGAGAATGAGGTTTTATGTTTTGTTAATAATTTCAGTGTTTAGAGTTTTAAGACTTGTTTCGTGGTTATTTATATTAAGAAAAGTTTCAAGTTTTATTAGACCCAAAAAAAAAAAAAAAAGTTTTCCGTGTTTCACAATTAAGGTTTTGTTATTTAATTAATGTGTTGTTTTCTTTAAAATTATGTTTTCTAATGAATATTTCACAAACAACTGTAACGGTCCGTAAAGAGGTCGTTACAACAAGAAATCTCTTCTTTTACTTATCTGAATGTGGCGCTAAATTTTCTCATTCTCTTATTTGAATGTGACACTGATCTTTTCATTCCCTCATCTGAATGTGATACCAATCACAAGGATATTTTCCTGTGGTGGCTGAAAATTACAAGAGGGAGTGAGAGGAAATTTTGTTTTAAAATTTAAATGGAAAACTATCTCTGATTTTTTAGAAACTTTTTATCTTTTGAGATAAGATGGTCTTTTTATGTTGCAAGGTGGAGATATTTGGACTTTTGGCAAAGCAAAAAGAGAGCCTAGTCCTACATCTGTTTGAAACTAAAATAAGAAGGGATTTGAATCCTATAAACGTAAGCCATGTACGTGAATAAGACTATCAATATAAATTTTATCTAGTTACACTTTTTAACAAAAACACATATTACTTGAGGTGCACTAGTTTTAAATCATACCTCCAAAAGTTTTTAGGGCCCGTTCACTTCGCTAATTTGAGTTTGTAATTTAAGTTGAGATGTGATTTTATGTGAGAGCTTTTTACTGTAGCAAAAAAGTTAGATGTGACTGTTTCTGAGAACTTTTTATTGTAGTAAAATTTAAATTCTAAACTCGAATCGGTGAAGTGAACGGGGCCTAGTCGATATACTTTTTTGGTAAAAGTAGAGGTTTCTGAAACCAATTTACTGTTAACCCTCGTTTCGGCTCCCTCTTTGCTCACTCCATTCACGAACACTATTTGCTACCCGTGTGCCTTTTGGAGTCTGATTACATCTGAACTTGATCACCAGTTTTTGTTGACACTCGCCTTGGTCACAAACTGGCGTTGACGTCTTTTTTGAGAAATTAGTTTGATTTTGTGTGGTTTGTGTATTAAAATTAAATTTTTGTTGTTTTAACTGGTTTGTTTTTGAGTAAAATTATGTTGGTTTTAAAAGTTAATTTATTATTCCGATTATATTTGTGAAATTAATTTGTATAAGTTTTGATTGTTGGGAGATACTGAAGTATGAAAATACTCATTATCATTTTAATAAAAAAAAGTTATCATTTCGGGAAAAAAAAAATGGTGATTTTTTTAGTATAAAAAAATTGTGATTACAATTGAGAGTTTTGAGGAATAAAAAAAAAAAATCCTTAGTTTTTCTCTTTTTTTTTTTTTTTCTTTCAACAAAAGAATAAAATCAAGTATAAGTATCCAACCATAAAACACAATAAATTGTCGCTAATCACAGAAGTAGTAGGGCTGTTCATAAACTGCAAAACCCACAAGCCCAACACACCTCACTCCAACTCAACTCAAAAAATGTAATTTCTAGTATTAAATTTTTTTTTTTTCGGCCCATTCAATGTCTAGCTTGAAGTTTTGGGACGGGTTGTGGGTTGGGCTTATAATGGCCCGTAAATCCCAACCCAACACGGGCTATAACTTGTCTCCTCTAACCTTAGGCAGACAACTCATTTATATTTTATAGTTTCTTCATGTTTAAATTAAACCTCTCTATTTGCTTTATGTTAAGACTAATTTATGAGTATAGACTAATATATGTTTATTTTATGTTTGATGTTAGATAGATTACTTTACTTCATGTTTGATGTTAGATTGAATTTTGAATTTCTATCTATTTGAATGTCAGAATTATTATTTCTATTTGATAATAAACTTTAAATATCAAATTAAATTTTAAATTTTTTATTCATTAAGTGTTAAAACTGATTACCTAACTTACTTCGCACCACTTTAACCCAATCTAAATATTATTAAGTCATGAAATTTTTTTAATATTGTTGATGCTAAATACGTGAAATCGGCGTCTTTTAAGGGGGGAGAAAGAAAAATTTTTACTCCGCACGAACCTATGAAGAGCCGTGAGAATTAGAATGTCAAATATTAGCAGGGTATATTCCCTAACTTCCTCACAAAACGAGCTTTTGTCCTCTAGTGGTGAGCAAAAGTACAAAACTGATGTACACCTCAGACTTTGACAACCACACAAAACGATCTTATCCACCATCTGCCAGAAACTAATCAGAGAATCAGAGTCTTTACTTTGACTGAGATCAGACATCGATCATGTGCACGTTGGAGAAGCGAGGAAACATCTTCATACTGACGCTAATGGGCCCGGGCGAGCACAGGCTCAACCCAACACTAATCGACGAGATCCGATCTGCTCTCGGCCGGGTCCGGGCCGAGTCAACCACCTCGTCGGCCCTGATCACCACCGCGGAGGGTAAGTTCTTCTCCAACGGCTTCGACCTCCAATGGCTCGAATCCTCTCCCGACCGACAGGCCCGGACCCACCAAATGGTATCGAAATTCCGATCGCTGATAGCCGACCTAATCTCGCTTCCGATGCCGACGATCGCCGCCGTCACCGGCCACGCCTCCGCCGCCGGGATAGGCCTGGCCTTGTGTTACGACTACGTTCTGATGAGGAAGGACAGGGGGTTTCTGTACATGAGCGAGCTCGACATCGGGATACGGATCCCGGCTTGGTTCGTGGCTATAATCAGGTGCAAGGTTGGCTTGCCGGCGACTCGCCGGCTCCTGCTGCTGGCGGCGGGGAAGTTGACGGCCACGGAGGCGGTAGAGAAGGGGATTGTGGAATCGGAGCACGTTGGCGCGGAGGCGACGGTTGAGGCGGCGGTTGGGCTGGCGGAGAAGCTGGTGGCAAAGAAGTGGGACGGAGAGGTGTATGCTCAGATAAGGATGGAGTTGTTCTCTGAGATTCTGGGTGAGATTCGCGCCAACAGTACTGGGTCTAGGCTGTGAATTTATTGGGCTGGGCAGAATTTGGGTTTACTACAATATGGGGATTAAGTGTCTGTGCAATGCGGGTTTCCTTTCCCTTGAAATTGTCACATGAAACAGCAAAAGAAAAAAAAAAAACAATTTACATGGCAATATTACAAGATTTGTAAGATTTCAGTTGAAATATAGTATTTTTTTTAAAAATATTTCGAGAACAATAAAATTGTGTAATAATTATCTTAATGATATTTACATTTTTATGGTAGTAATTATTCATATTGTCTAATTTTTTTAGTTTTTTTTTAATGTTCAAAAGCGCAAATTTAAAAGAAAAGACTATAACATATTATGTAGTTATGTGTAGGCTATGAAAAATTTGTATCTTAATTTTTTTTTTTTAAATATTAAGGGTTTGTTTTTTTGAGTAAAATTTAAAAAATTTAAATTTAAATTACAACTTTATTTAAGATCATGTTTGTTTGTAAAATTTGAGTTTGAACTTAAGTTTTAACTCGAGTTTTAACTTAAGTTTAGGGCTAAAATCTGAGTTTAAGTTTCCCCTTCAACTTAAATTTTTAAACTCAAACTCAAGTTAATCAACAATATTTTTTTTTATTCTTAAAAACGTCATAACTTTTTCGTTTTAATTCTGATTGAGATGATTTTTTTCTATGCGTTCACAACGAATAGACGAATAAAATCCCACACATATACCCTATTTTGAGTTTTTTTTATTAAAATTGTATATAAATACAAATTCAAGTTTTGACCAACTCAAACACAAACTCAAATAGATTCTTAATTCAAATCATAATTCAAATGATCATGATTTCTCCAACTCTCTAAACGACATATGCAACTTAGCTATATAGTTGTGTATAGTGTAACTAGTCCTTATTTTATTCACAGGTTAAATGGTAGAAGTTAACAGAGTTTGATCATTATTTTGAGGATAGATCACTTTCTTACGAGTTAAATGGTGGAGGTGACTTTTTTGTTAGAGCATTTTGTCAAGATGGATTATTTACTTCACCATTTCATTTAGCTAGACGTTTTGGTGTGACTTATGTTGTAAACATCTTATTTGGATGCTTAGTAGATACGGATCACAATTATTACAATGAATGTTTTATGTTTTAATTTAAATGTTCCTATTTGGATGTAAGATGTTGCTTGGAATCACCATCTATTTGAATGAATTCAAAAGAATATTAATATAATAAAAGTAGATAGAATGTTAATTTGTACTAGTTTTAAGATTGGTAAAATATTCAATAATAATTTTAAAAAGCTATAGGAGTATGAACATAATAAGGAAAAAAAGCTATTGATTTGTACCGTAATAAGGCTAAATAGGTGTAAGAGGTTAAAAATAACATGTCTAAAATACTATAAGATTTCAATTCTATAACGTTTCTCATAACACTCGCCGAACGCTACGTTTTCTTAAGACTTTAATAGAACCTAATATCTTAGCGTTTTACAAAACGCAATATCATTTTTGATAAGTTGTTGATAATGAAATTTCTTGTAGTGTGTGTAATATGACATTGTTGTCGATTACTTCTTATAATTTATCAATTAATTTCATAGCTTCCCAATGCACTTCTGCCGGCGGTAATTGGAAGGTGTCTACATGAATTGCATCCGGTGAGAATTACACAATCCAAATGCCTGAACTAGTTCTATTGCTTACTCTCGCAGCAAGCAGATCAGAGAGAGATATATATGTATATGTATATTTATATGTATATGTATATTTATATGTCATCCTCAACTGATCGAGGTTTAGTGTTGCGCCTACACTCAATCAACTAAAAGAACTATAAAAAATTTTGATGAGTATCTTTTTTAGAATGACTCTTTGCAGTTTCAACTGTAAAGTAAGAGTCATCAATCTGTTGAAATAAAAGAGTCAAGATAGTATAAGTTATATAGTATCACATTAATTAATTGGAGAAATAAGTGAGGGTTTATAAATAAAAATACTATTTTCTAACTGTATGAGACATTTTAAAGTAAAGTTTAAAAATAAAATTCTACGAGTTTAAGTCTAAAATAAATAATATTATAATAATATTATAATCATTACAAATCGTATTATTACTATGACTCACTCAGAAGCATGATTAACGAAATCTTTTTAGTACATCCAAACGTCATTTTGTCGAGGGAAAGGAATCAAATTATGGAAATACTTACAACGTTTCCCCAGAGACTATTTCTTTACAGTTTTCTTTTCATTTGTGTTGCGTTTTTTTTTTTTTTCTTTTCTTTTATGCTTTCTGCTTTTCCTATTCTTTTATTTAATAATGGTTTGCCTTATTAAGAAAATAGTGTTCTCAAGGTCGAAGTCTAAAAATCGCAATAAAATGACTCCACTACTTAGGGATATGCAAATCAATCAACCCGTTTACCTGGGTGAAATGCAAATTAAATATTTTCAAACTAAACCAAACCAAACCAATTAAGAAATCTAATACAATTTAAACCAAACCCACTGTAGTTGGTTTGGTTTAGTTTTTTAATTTGATTTTAACTAATATTTTACAAAGTTAAAATTTAAGCATCATAAACAAAATTAAAACTTCCAAATCCATAAAACATAAAATACTAAACACGTTTTTAAATATAAATAAGTTTTATGGTAGAAATTTTTAAGGTTATAATCGTTTAATTTTTTATAAACTTTTTATAAATATAAATAAATTACAGATATATAAAATATAATTAATTTTTAAGAGAATATATGTAAATAGAAATTGGTTTGGTTTGATCTTATTAAGAGTAAAATCACGAACCAAACAAATTTAATTAGTTTTTAAAAAAAAAAATCAAATCAAACCGATCATTAATTGGTTTAGTTTAGTTTTCTTTTGTTTTAATTTGATTCGGCTAGTTTGAATAATTTAAATGGTTTGACACACCCATACTATTGCCTCCCTAGCTATTTCTTCCTGTTCTGTTGATCTTGACAACACATAGTAAAAAAAAAAAAATCACATGACATTTGGTTCATGAATTAGAATCATGATATTGAATCATTTTTTATTTACGTGTATTTTTTGTAAGAAAAAATACTGTAGCGAATCACGAATCATGATTCGAATAAAGAGACTAATTCCTTAACCAAACAATCTAATAATGTTCTCCCTCTTTGATCGACCTAAATCATTGAAGCACCAAAAACTTATTCCAATTTTGAAAACGGTTGTGCACCATGGGGCACCAAGGCGTTGAATTTTGTCACAACATGTTAGAAAATGAAGTGATGAATCTTAGAGCATCGAACTTAGCTGTGACGAACCAAGTGCAGAAAAATCAGAACAATAAAATAATAGGGATACCTCTCATTAGCTATTATTCCTCCTTATTCCCATTAGAGATTCGAGAGTGTAAGAGTAATTCCACAAAACGACAATAATGTTGGAGGAGAAGTCCCTAAAACGACAAGTCACTTCTTTCTTAGACAGCTGTTTAAAGAATGGATCTTTGCGCTACACGTGGAGCTCTAGTGCTCTAGTTTGTCGCTAGATTTAAGTTAATAATAGCATGATTTGACTTTTAAATTTAAATTTAAATATAATTTTATATAAGAATTTTTTATTATAATAAAAAAAGTTAAAAGTAATTATTTTTTAAAAATTTTTATTGTAATAAAATTTAAATTTTAAACTTAAATTAATATAATAAACAGGACCAAAAGTCTTATATTTTGGACTGTGGCTAGAAAAAAAAGACTTATATTTTCGGTGGAGTTTATTATTCATTATAGGATCCATTCACTTCGCTAATTTGAGTTTGTAATTTGAGTTGAGATGTGATTTTGTGTGAGAGCTTTTTACTGTAGCAAAAAATTTAGATGTGACTGTTTCTGATAGCTTTTTACTGTAACAAAACTCAAATTCTAAACTCGAATCAGCAAAATAAACGGGGTGTCAATTTTTTACAGACTTGTAGAGAGAGAAGCTCTACCGGAGTGTAGAAAGAGAAAGTGTAAAAGTCGTTGGGTTTCTTGAGGGAAACACTTGCATTTTTTCTCTGGGAAACAATCTTTATAATTGGGTGTGAGTTCTTTCTGTGATTGTTGAGCTGTAAGGGTGTAATTTTTTCTCTAATAGTGGAATATAAGTTTTTGTGGGATAGCTCAACGGAGACGTAAGATAAGATTTTGTCCGAACCTCGGCGAAACAAATCATTTGCGTTCTTGTTGATTGGTTTCTGAGATTTGGTTTTTTCTTTGAGTCTGGTGTTAGCAATCGGCTAACAGAGAGCCTACCCACCTTTCTCCTCTTGGTTTCCCAATTAGTCAATTACCTAATTTAGCTACTAATTCTTCTTTCCATACTTCAAATTCTCTGTAACAAACTCTTAACAACAACTACTAATCAATATTAGAGTACTAATTCCTTTAACTAATTGTTTTTAATAGACAACCAGAAGGAGCAACTAGCATCATAATAGACGTCCAACACAAAATCTACGGCTTTCAACAGTGTTAAATCTCGCCTAATTAGGCATCGTTCACTTCGCGGATTCGAGTTTTATTCAAATTTTTAATTCGAGTTGAGATGTAATATTTTTTGAGAATTTTTTACTGTAACAGAAAAAGTTAAATGTGATATTTTCTGAAAATTTTTTACTGTAAAAACTTAAAACTAAAAATTCGAATCGGTGAAATAAACGAGACCTTATTAATCATCCAAATAGACCTAGATAGCCAGTAGAAGGCATATAATTTCCACTTGCAATCCTTAATTACAATCCTTTAAGAATGTAGAGACAAACACAGAGGGTGCTTAGTACTATAAATTACAGCATATTCATACGAGAAAATTAAACACAAGAAAGGAAAAAAAATAAAAAATAAAAAAAAGAAAAGAAAAATCAACTAAAGAGAGCTAGTGATCTTACTGGTTGAAGAGCAGTATTTGTCGTTTTTAAATTCAAGACCTTGAGCAAACAGAGAAGCGAAAGCTTCCATTTGGTGTTTCTTCAAGACTATCCCAATCTCAACTCCATCATCGTTTCTGCTTTCCAAGAGACTCATCGCTCCAGTTACATCTACGGAAACAACGTCCACCTTTCTTGGTCTTCCCCATCCAAAATCTGTGTCGTAAACCTTAAACCGAGGCGATGACGCAACAGAGTAAACTTTCCTTCTTTTATTTATACTCCGATGCATATTACCCACTACTACCGAAACCCAATTCTCAGCTCCGTCTAGAACCGATTTGTTTTCCAAACCTTTCATAGCTTCACTAATGGCGTTCACAGCCGCAACAAACCCTTGTTTTCCCAACAGGGCTTCTCTTTCAAGAACCGCAAATCTTGGGGCTATGCAGTTCCCAAGATATGTTGCCGGTAGAGGAGGATCAAGTCGAGATCTACAGTCCACTAAGAAGACAAGATTTTTGTCGTCACTAATTTCTTCCGCCTTGGCTAAACAAAACCATGTATAGGCACATATTAGAGAAAATGCGGACACGTTCTTGAACGTTGCCGTCTCGGTTATGCTTATTCGTCGCTTCAGTTCTTGTATCATTGCTCTTGACAATCGGAATGTGCCTCGGATTGAATCTGGTTCGTTAGCAGCATTGGTCTCCCAAGGCGTTACGCTTCTGTTATTGGGTCCGTCCGAGTTTAGCCAGTCGCTGGAGTAGATCTTTTCGAGCTTGCTGAAGTCGTTCTTGAAAAGGGTGGTTCTGTCATAGAGGGGTTTCATCTCCAGCGGGAAGTGGGGGGGGAGAAAATTGATCACCGTGATCTCCTGATCCAAGTGATTTGCATACGTGGGCCCATGATTTGACGAACAAGAAGAAACTTTGGCCGTCTAGGGCAGCCTTGTGCACGGCAATTCCGATGGAGAATGCGTTGTCATTAGGAAAGAAGGTCACTTGAATTGCCAAAACCGGAACAGCTTCTGAGTCGGACGTTCCTAATGGCAAGTTGGGAACCAAAGGACGGCACTCTGCGGCGTCACTGAAGGCGACGCTTTCAGTGGTGGAGAGGCGATAGAAGTCGGCGTAGGACTTGGCGATGATTAGCGAAACGCCGTCGCTCTCGGTGTAAGCGATGACGGGCTTGGGGGAAGTTGGAGGCCAAGTGAGGTTTCCAGCGAGAGGAAGGAAGTGTTGGAGGGTGAGAGATAACGAGTGTTTGAGTCTTGGAACAATGGAATCGAAGAAGGAATTTGTTGAAGGATTTACGGGAGAGATTTTGTAGAAGTAGAGGAGTTTTGGTGGCGGGAAACGTAGCCAACGTATGTCAAAGAAAGTTAGGGGGAGAGATTTTGGAGAAAAACTTTGATCGGAATGATCTGCTGGAGGAGCCACCCTACACACCTCAATTACTTCCACCATTTTTTGGCTGTGTCGTAGATGAATATGGGAGTAATGAAATTCAAAATGGCATTAATAATGGAAGTGTTTAACTTTGGCCATTCCTCAATGATTGATTCATTTCCATCAATCAACAATCAAACCCCCAAATGGAATGGGAACCTCATGATTTTACGGCAGAAAATATTTTATTTCAGAAAATTGAGATTAAAAAAAGAATGACAATAACGTTAAATGGTAACCACAAATTACTTGGGTCAAGTACAGCAAGCTTTAGTACAATAAAATTTAAATAGAGAATCTTGCTTCTTTTTCCTTTTTTTTTTCCCTCCTATTGTGGGACTTTCACAATGAAATATGAAACAATGCATAAGATGATAATTTACATGTCACATTAATTGATGTATAATAGTTAAAATTTAAGTTGATGTTCATCATTTTATTTTTGTAATTTATTTTTTGCACAGTATAGCCTGAAACCTGAATTCCCAACCTTTGGAAATAATTGGATTTTCTTTCATCAGTACTTGTTTCTCCTTCAACATTTTTCCCATTTTCATGATGATCAGGCATCATTCCAAGATTCAAATCCAAGTGCAACCCAAGATTTTGTTTCTTCTTGTTATTATTTTTTCTCAACCAACGCTCCAATATTAATGTTTTCAACTGGGATTCACAATTCATGTTTGTGTGTCGTGTTCAAAATTAGTTTCCAGTTGCTTGAACCTATTTATGGATTTTTTTTTTTTTTTTTTTTTTTTTTATAAATGTCATAAGGTTGAATGTCTTTTTTAATTTTTTATAAATTTTTTATTTTTGTATATGGGTTATAAACGGGCGGGCCGTGTCGTGTCGTGTTGGCCCGTTAACGGCCCGTATAGCTAAACAGATTAAACGTGTTAAATGGACTGACACGAATCTAGCCCATTTATTTTTGTGTTATTCGTGCCAGTCCATTAATGACCTAATTAATAATCGTGCAGTCTAAACCTATTTATTTCGTGTCGTATCTGAAATTACTGGCCCTATTTTCAACCTTGCTAACATACATGGCGGTGAAGGTGCGAACCTCCTTCTCCCCTTCATGAAAGTAGTCGCACAAGTAGAATGTGATGGTGTCATTTTGTAACACCCCGAAGAATTAAATGAGATTAATTGAGGTAATTAAGATTTATTAGTGTGTCTAATCTAATTTAATTAATTGATTATTGTTTAATAAATCTTGCTGAGGTATAATTTAAATAATTTTAAGGTATTTAAATATTCTCAGTAATTATATTTTAACCCAGAAGTGTGTATGGACACATTTCTAGACTGTCATTTTAAATGCTTGACACCTGTCCATTTTTCTTTTCTTTTTCTTTTTCTTTTTCTTTCTTTTCCTTCCGTCCTTTTTCCTTTCCCGTGCATACACTCTTTCTCTCATTCCCACTCTCGCGCCCTCACTCTCTCTCTCTTCCATTTTACTTTAAAATCAACCGGATTTCGAACCAAAGAGGAATTTCAAGAAGTTTTCAATGTCAAGAGAATGATTCAAGGTAAGATTTCTAAAAACCTCTCTTGAATCTTAAGATTTTCGGATTTAAAAACTTATTTTTGGTTTGAAATGGATTTTTATGAATTTTGAGTAAAACCATGGTAGAAATTAGAGATCTTGGGTTCTTTGGACTTGATTTAGTACCTAGAACCCGGATCTAGTGGTTTTCCTTTGAGATATTTTGATTTGGAACTGAAAGCGCAGGTTTTTGGGCTGATTTCGCGGGTTTTTCTTCGCCTGATGTTCTTCACAGGTTGACCGGACCAGTCGACCGATCCGGTCGACCGGACCAGTGGATCTATCCAGTCAACCGAATTGCATTAGTCTACCGATCCACCTATGCAGTCGACCGAATTGCACACCACCGGTCGACCGGTGGTGTTGCACTGCTCTGTCACCGGTCGAACAATGTACAATGGGTTTGACCCTGTTTTGCCTGAAAAACCCTGTTTTGACCCTGATTTTTTAGGAGAATCTAAATTAGCTTCATTTGGGGACCTAGAGTCAATGGATTAGCATCTTTAATACATGTTTTGAAATTAAAACCCTTAGAATGATTATTTGAAACATGAAATGGTTTATGAGACTGGTAATTGAATTGTGGCACACTAATAGGAAATCAAATGGTATAACTGAGACTAAATTGCTTTAGGAATGAAAATTGAATCCTAAAGTGTTGTCTTGTATCAGTGCTGACTGAGGACTCAGTTTGAGGGGCTTGAGGAAGCGAAAGCCATAATAGAGTAACGCTAGCCACATGTTTGGTATTTGAGAGGTAGGATATTCCTGATCCCTTTCATTGTTAGCATGTTTTTAAAGAGTTTTGGAATTACAAATGTTTTAAAGAAAGGGCATGTTTGCGAAAGAAAAATATTTTAAACCCCCATGGCTTGTTGTAGATTCTGGGGAGTATAACGAACTGTTTCATAAAGTTTAATGAATGATTTCTTAAGACAAAAGATCTTGTGAATCGGTAAACCAGCTGATGGCCTAGATAGGATGTGGAGAGTGTATCCTTGGAGGCAGGACCCGAAACCCGGCCCGGGGGTGATGGCTTGTGCATTTGGTTGTGTAAGTAGTTTATCATAGTATAAGTTACTTGCTGATGCCTATAATACGGTGATTTTCACTTATATTTCCTTTGAGAAAAAGGATGTGAGGTTCCGGCTATTGTGTTGAAACTGAATGTCTATTTTTATTCATTTACTTTTTCATTTATTTATTTATTTACTTATTGTAAAGTTATTTCAAAATATATCATATTGGGCTTTTTGCTCACGTTTTATTGTTTTATAAATGTTAACCCCTCCTCTCCTCCCCTCCCCTCCTAGGCAACTCTAGGAGCAGTGCGGAGTAGTTGAGTTGCTACCACCCGGTGAAGAGAGGATTGCGTTCATCCTCCTGTTGTGTACGAATGTACGAAATTGTAAATTTCTGTAAACTCTGATATTTGGATTTCTAGACTGTGGTTGATGTCTGTAATGTTTCATTTACACGTTCATGTATGTACGATACTGTAAGATCCTGTGGATAGTTCCTATGGGTGTAGCCCTGAACAGTGTTAGAGGCTTGAATTTAGTCTCTTCCTTGTGATTTATTTTCAATTAAACGGGAAGCTTGTTTGGAAATTTCTTTAATATTTCACTTTAACTCCTAACCGAGCCTCCACGTCACCGACCCCGGTTTCAGGGCGTGACATTTTTTTCCTCAGCTGTTTCTCATTGTTCCGAGCCAAATACGCTGGTGGTTGGCATAGATTTAACTATTCAATATTCTTATAAAAAGGTAATCACTGCGGAGCGTTTTCTGAGGTTGAATCCATTTTGAATTTGATAAATGTATTGCTTGTGAAGTATGTGTTTGTGTATGTCCTATAGATCCGTCCCTCGTTGATTGGAAATTGGAAACTGATATTTGCAAGAAACAATTACTTAATTACAATATTGATTTCAGAATCTGTATATTTTCATTTTGCTGAGGCACAAGGCCTTTGAATTTCAATGGGGAAGCCCTAAAGTTGCCATGCCTCGCACGCTTGTTTGGAGGAAGCGAGTCATGTGTGCAGCTGCTCGAGTCGACGGCTTCTGGGGTTGCATTGCCGCTTCCATTTGAAATGATGCTTGACATGTCCTCTCCCATGGTGGCCCTAAAAGAAGCAAACAATAAACAACTCATAAAAAGTAATGTATACAATTTTTGTATTCAAAATGCGTCGTTAAATTCTGACAAAATTATTAGACATCTCTTACAACAACTACGACGGCGGAGAGGCAGTTAGCATAGGAATTATAAAGGTCTCGTCCATTTCACCCAGTTGAATTTTTAGTTTTAGGTTTCTACAGTTAAAATCTCTCAGAAAATGTCACGTCTAACTTTTTTTACTATAGTTAAAAGTTCTTAGAAAATATCACATCTCAACTCGAATTGAAAACTCGAATCCCAAACAAGGTGAAAGAGTTATTATCTAGAGTAGAAATCAGTTTTCAGAAGGTTTTGAGAACCTTAGATAAGAAATTCCATGAAAGTACTCATCAAATCAGTGTAATATATGTATAGTAAGTTCCGAAATGTATCGGTGCAAATACTGAAATCCACTGAAATCCATGGTATATTTACTCCCCATAACTGATCTTATCAAATATATACAACTACGTAATTAGGTTTTTAAAGAAATTTGGGCAAAAGAATGTCTTGCTTTAAACCATCACTTTCAAGATTCACGATTTAACTGAACCAACATAAGAAGTTATAATAGGAAGAATACTCTAAAGGAACAATTTCTTCGTGAAGTTTCGGTCGGTTAAATTAAATTAATACAGTGCAAAGTCCACTTATGCAAATGTAAAAATTAATGAATCTACTAGCTATTTACAGAATGTGATCTCAATAACAAATAGATATATATAAATCTACTATTAACCATTTACATGAATGCCTCTTTTATCCATGAAAAATAACTGGCAGGAGCTGGATAATCAGTATGCATTTTCTTTTGTAAACGAAGACCGGAAGAAAGTCTACCTTAAATGTTTTGTAGAAAATTATGGCACTTTGCGTGTTTTAATCACAACTCCTTTCTTAACTGAGCCCATTCAGTTCCTGTTAAAGTATAAATTTATTATTGGCCACTTCCTAACAGCTTAAATTTTTAGGATGTATTGGTAAACTAACATGGTATCAGAGAGTGAGGTCTTGAGTTCAAACTCCTGTAATTATACTATTTATCCCCATTTAAAATTGTCATCATGTGTTGGGTCTTTAATATATCTCGAGCTTAAATATTCACGTGTTGGGCTTTCTAATTAATTTACCCACACGATTACCCATTGTCCAACCCACACGTGAGGAGGAGTGTTAAAATATAAAACTATTATTAGCCACCTCCTTATGGCTTAAGCTTTTATGATGTATTGGTAAACTAATAGTTCCATCTTTAGTATGTATTATTATTAAATTAGATAATGGATATACATAAAATATATAATATAAAAGTTATATACTAGACAACGTAATAATATATATGATAATATTAGTAAAGCTTTAATAGCAATAATAATAATAAAACGGTAGTAGTAGTAATAATAATAGTAATAATAAATAATATTAATAATAATAAAATACTTTATTCAATTAGGCAATCAACCCAAAACTCATAAAATTTAGGATCTCTAACAATCTGTTCAAAATTAACCTAAAGCTCAAAAAGTCTCGCTAAGAGGATTTTGAGTTATACGAATTTTTTAAATATCATTGGGTGGAACATTTTTAACGATTTTTGTTTGACAAATCTTTTATATCAAATTATGTAGAAACAATATCAAGAGTTTGAGTCACATGAAACGTTTTAATCTCAAGGATGATAGATGTGTTGATCAAATTGAAATGTTTGTTTCCTGTATTCGTCTCTGATTCTGAATCATGATTCATGATTCTCTACAGTGTTTTTCTCTCACAAAAAACACACGTAAAAAAAAATAGTTCTGAATCATTGATCTAAATTTATGAACCAAACGTCCGATAAAAAACCTTGAACACTAAAGGCGTACGTGTTCGTGGCCAATCCCAATTTGCCAAGTAATCTTCATACTTTCATTCCACTCCCTCCTCAAGCAGAGGGATGAGGAGGTGGCTTGCCTACGGAATCAAATCAATGATGGAGGCAAAAATATATGAATTTATGATATTCCAAGGCCACACTCTTAGACCTTTAGGAGAGGAAATGAGAGCTCTAACGACTGTGGATAAAGGCGTAGTACGAAAGAGAGTTGTACCATTCACTCTTCTACACCACCGGTGGAGCCGCCCTTATTAACTCTTAATGAAGGCGTTAGTTGCCTTCTTCTAAGCCAAACAACAATGAATATATTGTCGTTGCGGCAGGGCGCAAATGGTGGATAGCCGCCTAATCGACCTCCTTCACAATGTCCCAATTGGGGATAGAAATGTAGGCGACAACATTCAAATTTGTTATAAAGTGGACGCACCACTTCCTTTCCTCATAATTGACAGCAATATTGCGGGTTGGGCGCTCGGAGGATTTGTTGCTTGGCCTAGGTCCTTGATTGACCTTGAGTCTTCGTTGCTTGGCCTAGATTTCTCTCTGGCAATTGACTTATGGCATGTTATCATTATTATATTTTTATAAAAAAATAATAATCTATCATATTTGTACCATTTACGGCAGTCAGAGACCGGAGACGACTACCATTTTTTAGTAAAAAAAAAATCTAGCAGACGATAAAAATTAATATACTAGAATTCTTTTTGGTGATCGACAATATTTGGTAGGTTACCAACGGTAATCCTGTAGGCTACCTTTTGGATGATCGAGGGTATTTTAGGTACGACGTACATAGCTGACGTTTAACTAATTCATCAGTGACATCAATCCGAGGCACAAATACCAAGAGGCATTTATCCGAAAGTCAGCTCTTTAAAGGGGTATTCTTGAAGTTTACTTGAAAGGGCAAGGTCCAGCCCAATTAGTGATCTCACAACAAGCCCTAATTCTTAGTTTTGCTTGAACCACCTACGCCTCTTTCTTACTGCTCTCCCAAACCAGAAAGAGAGAATTTTTCTAAATCGTCCGCCATTGGAGAAGAAGAAGAAGAAGAAGAAGAAGAAGAAGAGGAAGAAGATGAGGCCGATTCTGATGAAAGGCCACGAGAGGCCATTGACGTTCCTCAAGTACAACCGTGAAGGCGATCTCCTCTTCTCCTGCGCCAAGGACCACACCCCCACCGTTTGGTTCGCCGACAATGGCGAGCGTCTCGGCACCTACCGCGGCCACAACGGCGCCGTTTGGTCCTGCGACGTCTCCCGCGACTCCATCCGCCTCATCACCGGCAGCGCCGACCAGTCCGCCAAGCTCTGGGACGTCCGCACCGGGCACCAGCTCCACACCTTCAACTTCGACTCTCCGGCGAGGTCCGTCGACTTCTCCGTAGGCGATAAGCTCGCAGTCATCACCACCGACCCTTTCATGGGCCACACCTCCGCTATTCACGTTAAGCGCATCGCCGATGACCCTGACGATCGTAAGTGTTCTTTGGCCTAATCTCTAGGTCTACCGTTGTCGTTGATTTAGTTAAAGATTGAAAATTTCTGTGCCGATTATGCGATTTTGTCTTTTAATTGAAATTTTCTGTGGTAATTTTGCCGATGACCCTGCCGATCGAAAAACTCCCTAGCTCTATATTCTTTGCCTAATCCGTAACTCTACTATTGTATAAAAAATCATTACTTTTATTGAAGATTTTCTTTTAGTAACAATTTTGCGTTCGATTTGCTTATGCCTTCGCTCTTTTAACTGAAAATTTTGTACCTGATTTTCTGATTGATTTGCCTAAGTCCTTCCTAGCTCTAAATACTACAATTCTTTGTCTTTTTTTTATATGAGTTATTTACTTAATTTAACAGTTCTGGACTGAATTTGGACATTGGTGTTTGATTTTCTTAAGCCCTAGCTTTTTGCTAATCTGTAACTTTTTTTTTTATTTTTTAATAAATATTGTTGATTAAATTGACGAATGGAGGACTATATTCCTTGGGGATTGATTTTCTTAAGTGAAACCTTTTTATTTCCCTTATTTTGGATCAAAAATTGTTGATTCAATTGGAAAAAATCTGCTACTAATTTTGTATTGACCTTGAAACGTAACAAAGTAAACAACAAATCACAATGACACAATCAGTACGATTTTGTATGTACATATTGAAACGAATTGTGAAAAGGAAGACCGTCATTAATTGAAGAGTTGTTGATAAGAATAGCCCTAAGTATACTAGTGGATAAGGATTGTTGATTTAGTGGAAGAATTCTTTAAGATTAATTTTATGATTGTTTTGCAGAGACTAGTGAATCTGTTCTGGTGATTAAGGGTCCTCAGGGAAGAATTAACAGAGCTGTTTGGGGACCTCTTAACCAGACAATCATCAGTGGTGGAGAAGATACCATCATTCGCATTTGGGATTCTGAGGTCGGTTGGTTTATGATTCAAAATGTTGTTGCAGTTTTACTCTCGAATAACTAGGGAAATAGTTTTGATTTCAATGCTTAGCTTGGTTTACACTTTTACTCTCGAATAACTAGGGAAATAGTTTTGATTTCAATGCTTAGCTTGGTTTACACGGGTTACAAAATATGCTCTACGATTAATAAATAGGTTATGTTTCAGTCCACATATTTTGCATGATTAATTAACTACTTGACATCGAACAAGACCTGATTAATATTATGTAAACGGTTTCTAATTGACAGAATATGTTCTGATTGTGTTTTTCAAAAATTTGCAGACAGGAAAACTGCTGAATGAGTCTGACAAGGAAGTCAGCCACAAAAAGAACATTACATCGCTCGCAAAATCTGTCGATGGTTCGCACTTCCTTACTGGTTCACATGATAAATCTGCCAAGGTGATTGATCCATTGAATGATTGAAAAAAAAAAAAAAAAAAAAGCTTTTAGGAATTTGTCTGTTTTTGTAGCACTAGTTGTTATTAACTTCATTTATCTGTGCTGCAATTGCAAATCTGTAGCTTTGGGATACGAGAACTTTGACTCTTATCAAGACCTACACTACCGAGCGCCCAGTTAATGCAGTTGCTATGTCTCCATTACTTGATCATGTAAGGGTTTTTTGTGATATTACAATTTTAATAATGTCCCGAGGTTTCTGGGTTGAGGGTTTGTTTTTCACGTATAGTGGTGTATTGAATTCTGATGTTTTTGTGCTTAAATAGGTGGTGCTTGGAGGTGGTCAGGATGCATCATCTGTTACCACAACTGATCATCGTGCCGGAAAGTTTGAGGCTAAGTTCTTTGACAAGGTAAATTACTTTTCCTTCCCACCAACACTGTTGTCTAATATAAGCTTTGCAGTTGTTTTAGCTGCTTCAATACATGATTGCTCTTTCAATTCCGTTTGTCTTAGATTCTTCAAGAGGAGATTGGAGGTGTAAAGGGGCATTTTGGACCAATAAATGCTTTGGCTTTTAACCCTGATGGTAAAAGGTATGTTTTTAATCATTTATGCAAGCTATTGAACTGATGAATGATCTGGAATCTGTTAAGGTTAACTACAAGATAGTTGTGGTTCTTCTAATAATATTTGAGAATGTAATTTAACAATTTCTATAAGATCAAAGGTTTTATGTGTGGGTTTTTAGGTTTTATGCTTTAAGTATGATTAATAGTTTACAAATGAAAATATTGTGAAGAGTGGCCTTCGTAATTGTGTTTTGGATATATGTATTTGGTTGAAAGTCTGTCTGGATATTTAGACAAGTTAAATTGGTCAATAATTGGTTGATGTAAAGTTGTACGGAAAGTGAGAATGCATTTGGCTGGGTTCTTAGAGGCAGGGCTGGGGTGCTTGTGTTGGTATAAGTATTTTATTGGGGAGTGAGTAGCTAATTTTCTACATTGTTGATAAGAATTTGCGTTGGCTACTTTTCTACATTGTTAATAAGAATTTGCTTTAGCTATTTTTCTACATTGGTTTTTTTCCAATTGATGATTTGTTGCTTAAGTTTTTCTTGTGATTGGTTGGTCGTCAATAAAAACAAGAATGAAAATAATGTTTTATTCTAGAATCCGGCTATGACTTTATGCATAGCGCGAACCACAAGATGCTCCTCCTTTCTGCCATATTCTGGGTTGAAGCTGTAGCTTCACCTTTTCACCTAAACAGTAAATACGGAAATATTTGCTGAATAAAAATTGCACTCATTGTTCCTATTGTATCTTTATATATTGGTTCGGTTAAAGCATGAATCATGAAATCATGGTTGAAAGCAAGACATTCGTTTGCCCAAACTGCTTTAAAAATCTTTTATGTGGTGTTGTATAACTGTATATTAGTAAGATCAGTTTGGGGGGTGTGTAAATCTTCATATTCATACCATGGATTGGATCTCAGTATTTGCACGATACATTTCCGGACTCCTTACAATTGCTATGCTAACTGGCTTTACGTCGTCATGGCTGTTGTTCGAGTATAAGAGACATGATAATGTCACTGGAACTTAAAGATACATTTTGAATACAAACTTTGTGGATTTATCCGTATGAACTTTTTCTGACTTATCATTTTTGCTTGCAGCTTCTCTAGTGGAGGTGAAGATGGTTATGTACGTTTACATCATTTTGATCCGGATTACTTCAACATCAAGATTTAGATTTAGATTTGGACGTTCTATTATCTGCCAACCAGACGAATTTCCGATATAGTTACTTCTGCGTTGTGATCCTTCTGATCAAACCATGCCTTATCCATTCTTATTGGAAGTGAAACAGTTTTGTAGAATATTTATGCAGATTGTCATTCTTTTAGTTCTCTCTTTTGCAAGAACTTTTCCCTCTTTGAACTTCCATTTGATAATCTATTGGCCCGTAGAAAAAAAATACCTTTTGGTTTGTAGATTTGAATAGAAAATTCGAATTTCTATTAGAAAAAAAAAAAATTCAAATTGTGATTTAAACTGATGAAAGGAACAGGCATGCATCGGTAGCTAGATAGGTTGGTTGCTTGCTTTCTTGGATGTCTCTTTCAGTGTACTTGGGAAAATAACACCACTGAGCAAGCTAATTTATCAAACCGCACAGCATCTGCAGTATAAATTTTATTAAGTTACAATAAAACGACAAATTGTTATTTAAGCTATTATTTATTTATATTATTATTATTATTGCTAATGGTTATTTAAGCTATTTTATTCCTTCAAGATAGGACTCATTGAAATAATTTTTCACCGACATTTTTAACAATTTAACTATGATCACACTCCCTAGACCTTTAATGCCTTTCCCTATAATGAATAATAGTAAAGCCCTTTCCTTAAATGTATAACAGTAGAGCCACTGGAACATGCGTAAAAAGGATCTTTTAGACAGAGGAGCATTCTTCTTTTTTATTGGTGAGATCAGTCTCTGATTGATTTTGATGAAAATTATATAGATTGAAAAAATACGTAGAATAAACAGTTTTTGATATATGTTGAACGGTTAAAAATTAATTTTGATGAAAATTATATAAATTGAAAAAATATGTAGAATAAACAGTTTTTGATATATATTTAACGGTTAAAAATAAAAAATTACTGATAATTTATTTTTTATATTCCTATTAAAGGAACTACCCAACAAATATATGGAAAAATTCAACTTTTATCGGATATTGCTTTGTTCCCTCTTACGATGATCTTCTCAACCCTTTCAAACCGTCTCTTTTGCCCACGTTTCGCATTAGGTTTTTAAAAAAAAAATTAATTTATTCTTTTATTCTTTTCTTTTGACTTTGTATTTCTATTGAAATTTATAGGTGACATTTGGCGATTTAGAGTTTGTAATTTGTTATGCCAAGTTAAGTACTCAGATGAGGTCTAGAGTTCCAACTCCCTTCTCAAATTAAAAGAAAAATAATAAGATTCTATTTTTTATTCCAAATAGTAATATCTTCTAGGGGTTATTTAACAACTGGTGAACGAATCAATTGATGACAAGTCCATAGGCACATTACTTACTTGGGAAAAACTAAAATAAATATTATTCTGCAATATAATAATGTAGTGGTAATTAGACACCTACCTCACAAGATGTAGATTTCAAGTTCAAGGGGGAAAAAAATACCATTTAACATTACTTTCGTCTCTTTTACTTTTGTTAAACATGATTAAGTTAGAAAGATCAAAGTCCAATTATATTAAAAATAACTGAGTGTTGACTGTATGAATTAAGTTACTTATACTAATCTTACATTATGCAATATATATATATATATATATATATATATATATATATTATATGTTTAAGGAAGAAATTCTGGCTAAGTTGCTTGATTTAACTATAAGGGATAAATCTTTAAAAAAAATATATAGTAAAGGATAGTCACAGTTTACTTTTGATAACTTTCAATTTATCTGAACTTAAGACCTTGATATTGGTGTTCAGTTATTATATAACGACTATTCGCTCTCTCTATCTTTGTTATTTATTTTTTTAGCAAAATATAAACTTTTTATTATCTTTTTGAAGAAAAAATTGCTATCGTTCTTAAGGAGCTGCTATCTTTCTTAATTGAAGGTTGATTGTGCATTAAATGTACATGAACTTTATTATGTAAAAAAAAAAAAAATAAACACGAATATTTTGTTACAGATCGATCAGTAAACTGTAGAAGGCTCATTATCGTTTTTTTTTTTTTTTTTTTCCTTTGTTCCTACCGACAAAATTGTTGCAATAATTTCAAATTATGGTAGAAAATAAAAAAAAAAGACACAATAATAAAATCATATATTGGTTGGTGCAGCTTTACCGATTAATTGATAAAGCAATATAACAGCTCAGCATCTAAGAAAAATTGTCATCACAACCAATATATTGTCCCCACTTTATATATTAAGTACTGATATGCAATTACTCCTGGATAGATCAAATTATGCCGGCTGAAAATATCTATGGTAATATTTCTTTTGGAATCTCCGTTTCGTGCAGGCGATTGGTATAATGGAAAAAAAAAAAAAAAAGAACAATGTTAGGTATCTAAACTCAAATCTCAATTCTTTGTGTACCTAACTGATGTGGCATATTAGTTGTTATTTTTATCTCAATTAATGTTTAAAACATTACTATGTCAATAAATGATAAGAGATTGCATCATCTATATATTAAAAAAATGACTACTCACATGCCACATCAATTAATACATAAAAATTAAAATTTGAGTTAGCGTCCCTAATATTACTCGATGATTTCATTTCTTATTAATAAAATGAGATTATAAAGCCAACACTATGCAATAATACACGTTTCTTAAATTATAATTTTACATGAGATACACATGATATATACTGTAGGAGCATCATCTGATAAAGACAAACCGCTCTCTCTCTCTATATATGTGTATGTATATAAATAGTGATCTGCATTGATGTGTGTGTACGTATATATGGATAAAGTGTCCAACCTGTCTCAACTGTAAACAAGAAAAGCAAAGCAATCACTGAACGATAAGCAAAGCAATTCAATTGGTGTAGAAGAGAAGTTTAACCAAGATTTCAAGCATATATATACATACATATATATATATGTATATATCTTTGTATTTTCGTGCACGAAATATCCATGGCTCTTTGACGTCATCTTTGCCTTCCCAATTAGACAGAATATGCCTCTTCTTATAATGTCCTCTATAACGTTATTCTTCTGATCAAATCACATATAGAATATCATTCACGCATATATTCAACCAATATTCTTTAACCTTGCTGCAATCCCAAAAAAAAAAAAAAAAAAAAAAAAAAAAAGAGCAAACAGAAACTTACTTCAGCAATGGGGAATGCGAATTGTCTTGCAGTTCCGGCAAAAAGAGATCTATCTAAGAAAAGGAAGCCTTTGCCGATTGACTCCATTTTCAAGCTTCCTTCTGCAGTGCCCTCTTTGCCTCCAGGTTCACACTACACCATTTTTTTTCAACATATTATAGCTACACATGTATAAATATGCACTCTTATTTTCTCTTTTAAACCGCGTTTTTTGTTTTCTTTCCTGATTTAATTCTTCAAATTAATATGAGAAAAGAAATGAATGCAAATACATACATATATATATATATATATATATTGAGAATTAGTAAACTAACACGGTCTGGTGGCGATAATTAAAATTTGCGCTGCCGCGCGCGGTTTCATTTGTGTTGTTTGGTTTTTTATTAGTAAAAATTCAGTCATTACCATGGTACAGGCGATGGATTTGCGAGCGGGAGGATTGGTCTTGGAGGGATACAAGTTTGCCAAATTTCGACTTTCTACAAAGTTTGGGCCACCCATGAAGGAGGACCGGGCAATCTCGGAGCCACCTTCTTCGAGCCATCGCCGATACCGGAAGGGTTCCACATGTTAGGCTGCTATAGCCAGCCTAACAACAAGCCCCTCTTCGGATGGGCATTGGCTGCAAAAGATGACAGTGGAGATGAATCCACTAACGGATCAGCTCTAAGTAAACCGGTAGATTACTCTCTTGTTTGGAGCAGCGAGTCGCTAAAAATCAAGCAAGACAACAACGCCTACGTTTGGTTGCCGACTCCCCCGGATGGCTACAAAGCTGTTGGGGTCATCATCACGGAGAGCCCCCAAAAGCCTCCTCTTGAGAAAGTTCGATGCGTCCGGACCGACCTCACCGAGCCGTGCGAGATGGAGTCATGGATTTGGGGACCAGGCAAAGAAAGCGACGCCAATGGCTTCAATGTCTACACCCTACGGCCGACCAACCGAGGAACACAAGCCCTTGGTGTCGCCGTTGGCACGTTCTCCGCGCAAATTGGCGGGACTAACGCCCTTCCTCCCTCCATGGCTTGCTTGAGAAACGCCAATAATTCCAACAAAGTACACTCTTCCATGCCTAATTTAGCCCAAATTGAGGCCATTTTCCGTGCTTACGCTCCTCTAGTCTACTTCCACCCAGACGAGAAGTACCTCCCTTCTTCAGTGACATGGTATTTCACCAACGGCGCGCTTTTGTACAAACGTGGGGAAGAGTCTAACCCCACCGCGGTCGCGCCAACGGGCTCAAACCTCCCGCAAGGCGGCGCGAACGACGGCGAGTACTGGCTTGACCTACCAAAGGATGAAAAGGAGAAGGATAGGGTGAAGAGAGGAGATTTGAGCTCCGCACAGGTTTACCTGCATGCGAAGCCAATGTTCGGTTCGACATTCACTGACATTGCAGTGTGGGTATTTTACCCATTCAACGGGCCCGCGAGGGCTAAAGTAGGGGTGTTCACGGTCGGGTTGGGAAAAATAGGCGAGCACATAGGTGATTGGGAACACATGACACTCCGAGTTAGCAATTTCAACGGAGAATTGTGGAAGCTCTACTTGTCAGAGCACAGTAAAGGCACGTGGGTCGAAGCTTCTGAGCTCGAATTCTCCGAAAACAATGGCGGCAGCGGCGGAGGCGGAAAAAGGCCCGTGGCGTACGCTTCACTGAGTGGACATGCATTGTATGCAAAGCCTGGGACGGTGATGCAAGGCAATGGGGTTATAGGGATAAGAAATGATACTGCAAAGAGCAAAATAGTTATGGACACTGGCGCGAAGTTCGAGGTGGCGGCGGCGGAGTATTTGGCGGCGGCGGAGCCGCCATGGGTGAACTATTTGAGGAAGTGGGGCCCAAAGATTGATTATGACACGAAGGAGGAAGCAGAGAAGGTTGAGAAAATGTTGCCCGGAAGGCTGAAGACGGCATTTAAGAAGTTTATTGATGGTTTGCCGAATGAATTTTTTGGGGAAGATGGCCCCACGGGTCCTAAAGTTAAGGCCAATTGGATTGGAGATGAAGAAACTTGAGAATGTATGATTCAGATTTCTTTGTTGCATTTTTTCTTTTCACCTTTTTTATTTATGATTTTTTTTCATTGGATTCTGATAATAATAAGACCACTGTACATGTAAGAAAAATGCTAACGTTATTATTTCTGTCACTTTTTATATTTATTGTTTAACATGTAGATTCTACTATCTCATTTTTTTTTTTATTTGAGTCAATGTGTTAAACAATAAATATAAAAAATGACAACAATGGTGATAAAAATAGTAAAATTAGCATTTCTCGTGGATTCTGATAATAATAAGACCACTGTACATGTAAGAAAATTGCTAACGTTATTATTTCTGTCACTTTTTATATTTATTGTTTAACATGTAGATTTTACTATCTCATTTTTTTTTTATTTGAGTCAATGTGTTAAACAATAAATATAAAAAGTGACAACAATGGTGATAAAAATAGTGAAACTAACATTTCTCGTATATGTATTTCTCGTATATGTAAATATTGATATTACATTTGTATTAAATGAAAAAAGATAAAAATTGTATGATTAATATATTGTTTTACTTTAAGTTCAACATCAAGAACTCAAATAATAATAATAATAATAATAATAATAATAATAATAAGGAATTAGAAGAAGAAATCGACCATTGGAGTAGAGTTTTTAAGTGCCGCCAGTCATCTTTCAACCACCAATTATATGGATATTAGTACGAATTTAAGTGTTTTTTTTTTCTTTTTTTCCCCCTTGCGAGATAAGAGCGGCCATGTTAATTATTCCTCTTATGTAGTGGCTCAATTAAACTATAACTCACCTTAAAAAATTTGAGTGGGGCGGTAGTCCCCATTCAGCTGTACTTAAATTCGCTATTGCATACATTTATATAAATAAGTTGATAGGCGGATATCCTAATTTTTAATATATGTATGTACATAGATAAGTTTTTAATGATTACTCTATATTTACTATTAAATATAAAAATTTAAGAATGTGACGTGAAAAATATATATATGTGTGTATATATCATATTGTTGACTATGGATGGTGTCGGTATCTTCGAAGATCACTGCGTGGCTCTTTCTCTAAAGGTCGAATAATTGCATCTGCACTTTATCTTAGTGAGACTGTGTGTTTGACGCTCATACATCTTTAAGAATTATTAGACAGCAGTGTGGATTGACACTTTCTGTATGTCACTCTCGTGGTCCCAATAAATTTTGAAAGTAATGTTGGGTGAAAGAGTAAAGATACATTGATTCTAGTTTTTATCAACATAAAATATATGCCATAGACTCTTATTAATGGGATGTTTGGTTAGAGGATTCAAACCATGATTTGAATTATAGTTCGTTACAGTGTTTTCTCTCATAAAAAATACACGTAAATAAAAAATAATTATAATCACATAATTTTAATCTATGAACTAAACGTCTCTTAAAATGCATTTGGCATTTTCAAATTGGTACCCAGCCGGCCTGTCCAACTCTAATCTAGGAGTTTACTCTCTGCACCACATATATGATGACGAACATGATGTTTTTTTTGACGAAAAAAGCCAAGGAAAAAAGGAAAAAGAAGAAAAAGAGTTTAGTTTACCAAGGTATATGCATAACAAGGAACTCTTGCGGTAAATACTGTTATTTCACCTCATAGGTTGGAATTATCGTTTTTAACTGTGGAAATAGTTATTTAACGGTTAGATTATGAGTGTGTATAAACATTTACAGCTTGCGACATAAAACCGTTCTTACTCATCACAGTTTAGACCGTTGAAAAGCTAAACTGACAAGGTAGAATAAGAGTTTAGAACGTGAGTGTGCATATTAAAATCCCGTTTATTTTGCGGGTTTGAATTGAGAACTTGAGTTAAAAAGTGAATTTATATGATAGAAAACACTTAAATATAAAAAGGTCAATTTAAATTTTTATAAGAGAAAATATTATAATAAAAAATTTGAGATATAATTTGAATTGTAAAATGAATGAAGCCTAATTATTCCAACTACTAAAACAACACTTTTTATTGAGGGTGTGTTTGGTAAGGGGATTCGTACCCTGATTCGAATCATAATTCATAGTTCGCTACAGTATTTTCTCTCACAAAAAATACACGTAAATCAAAAATAGTTTTAATCTCATGATTCTAATCCATAAACCAAACGTCTCCTAAGACAGTTCCCATGTTTAAAAAAATACACGTGTAAAGTGCTGAAGCGGCTAACCAAAAAAGAAAAGTGCTGAAGCGGCTTAAAGTATTATATATAT